ATGCTGGTTATTTACTTCATTGTGGAATTGAGGTGATGGATCAGAATCCCGTCTAGGACTGGTAACTGCAGGTTCGCTAGGTCCAAGATCCTGCAAAGATAAACATAGATGAAGATAATCCAGAAACATTTAGTTATCCATCAGTGACATTCTGTTTATACGTCAAAGCCATTTACTGATAGAAGAGAAGGGCAAGGTATTGCTATTGTGCATATATTGCTGAAGACTAAAGTGCTGTTTTGTTTAGACACATACATATGCACCACTAGGTGTACTTGATGGAATTGACAAATCTTCATCATCATTAGGAGGGCCAGGAGTGGGCTTCCTTCCTTCTTTCAGAGCTTTCCTAATATCAGCAGCTTTCCAGGCTGCATACTTCTGTTTTTGCTCAAGCTGTTGAACAAAGTCATAAACGTTAAAACTAAATATAATGCCAATCACATGTTACAGTACAAATAAAGCATCAGCACCACAAAAGAAGAAATCAACATTAGAAGCACAAACATTTAATGTGAGTATAACCACTCGAAACTCACATCAGGCTGAAGAGGACCAAACTGGTTGATGATCTCAAAGAAAATGCTAGCAGCATAAAATGTCTTTGCTGTATTCCTGTACCAAGCTCCAAAAAATTAATCCTAAATCATTTATAGAGGCATCACAAAACTAAGTACAGTACAAAGGTCTAGTGCTGAAAATGACACAACTTTTCATAATTTAGAAGGTAACACAAATTATGATTAACCGAAACTAGAACACGACATTCAGCTCATTAAATGAGCTGAGTTTCATAAGTTTGTCATGCCTCCCAAAGGGTAAGCCGCAAAGGGAAGTCGCCAAAAAGGATTCAATAAAACAGCCATATATAAGAAAGAAGTTATACTTACAAGTCTGCTCGTCCAGCACGATCTTGTTTGTCTGCCTTGGCAAAGACATTCAAGGCAAATCCCTCTAGATGCAAATTATCTTCAGGCCCCAACTGCAACGACTTTTTATCCTGCAATACACCAATATCCTTAGACACTAATGAGGAGAGATTTATAGTTTCCATACAACAACGACATGCTAGAATAATCAATCCCATATCAATGATCAATACAAAACTGTAAGATTCTACCTGAACAGGGATCTGTTAACCAGAAAACAAAATTAATTTCCTTCTTCTGAAAGCAAACATTAATCACAAATGAAGAAAGAACCTCTAAACAATGTGAGGGCATTACAGGCAGCAGAAACATGGTATATAGTCTATGCTGCAAAGCGGATCCCAACAATTGTTTTCGCACATTAAGATTAAGCAACCAGGCAATTTAAACAGTAACCTGGAGCCTCAGTACTAGTGCAAATACACAATACAATAGCAATTCTAAGAAACCAAACTACGCCCAGTTGATTAAACAGCTACATGAACAACACCCATGTTCCAAAATCAAATCTTTTCATGTGAAACTCCATCAACCACTCATCGATAATATCTAAAATCAAAGATCAAGTTTTCTGAGAAAGTAAAATAGACCCACTTCATTAAACAGCTCAAACAACAATACCCATAATTCAAAATTATATATATATATATATATAATAAAAAAAGAGACCTTTTCAAGCTGATTCATGAGAGAAACAAGAAGGGCATTGGTGGTCTTGGTTCTCTCGCTGTTGGGTATCTTCAATCCTCTTTCCATTGCATATAACCGACCTTTCAAGCGTCAAAAAAACCAAACGATCTAATTAGCTTCCAAGAATAAA